GAATTAGATAAAAAAAAAAAAAAAAAAAAAAAAAAAAAAAAAAAATGAAATATTATGTCGTAAAATATATGTATTTATGTAAAACATTAGTTTAATATTGGATCGTGATAGATAAATTGATCGAATAGAATTTCAGAAAGATAATTAATTAAGATTCTCTAATATATAATTTCGTAATTTTTTACACGAATTGTTTAAAAGATTTTCAAAATTTAATATAATATCGAGATTATTATTCTTTTTTGTTTAAAGATGTGTTACTTACCAATAACTTTGTTTCGTATACAAGCATTTGAAGTAACAAATGTACTAATCCATTAAAGTAGTTTTAATTCTGATTTCTAAGAAAACTAATCATAATCGTTGTAGATACACATTTTGATTAAATCGAATATTGTCCTTATGAATTGCAAGATATAAAAATATTACAAGCAATATAATAATATACGTAGAACGAGTTTTATTACATTATATACAATATATGCATTTTGTCGTGTTACAAACTAATATAACTCAACCAGTCCATGGCAAAAATTACATTCATAAAAATTAATTTCTATAACTCGATACTGTTCTTGCAATATTTGCAATCTATACAATTTATACAATCGATACAAACGACCACAAACACCGATCATAAAAGAATATCAAGTTATTATTAGCAACAGAAATTTAACAATACTATGAAAAATCAAAATCCATATTTTTCAAAATATTATGTTAACTTCGATGTTCTCTTGCTTTCAACGAGAATAAGAATGAACGATTTCCTGTATAAATTAATTAACCAAAACCAATAGTATTAAGTTTATTATTAGTTTCAAATTAATCAACCATCTTAGTGACAACGAAACAAAGGGGTTGGTAGTAATAATTTTATTATTACTAAAATCAATTCAAGGAAAACACCCTCTCTCCTCATTTGGCGGTCTCGTGTCGGCGCAAATGAGCGCTCAGGGTGCCCCGTTGCGTGAAACGTTTCTCGCAAATTTTACACTTGTAAGGTCTCTCGCCGGTGTGGGTTCTTCTGTGCTTGATCAGATACTTCCTCGAGCTAAACGCTTTCCCGCAATATTCACAGACCTCCGGTTTCTCTCCAGTGTGTATCCTAATATGAATTTTCATGTACTGCCTCCTGATCAATTTCCCGCAAACCTCGCATGCCACTTGACTCTCCCCCGTGTGAGTCCAAAGATGCTCCTTGTAACAGTAGCTGTAGAACGTCTCGAATCCACATATCTCGCACTTGTACTTCCTCCTGTTCTCGGGCTGGCTATGGATCTTCATGTGACTTCTCAGGTAGACCCGATTACCGAAAGACTTGTGACAAATCTCGCACGTGCAAGGCTTGTCGTCGGTGTGCACGCTCATGTGCGTCTTCAGTGTGGCCTTCAGATAAAACCCTTTGTTACAGATCTGGCAGAACTCGGTGAACTCCTTGTTGTGCCTTCTTATGTGTATTTTCAAGTAATATTCCGAGGTGAGTTTCGCGCCGCACACGTGGCATATATGGGGTGCCCCGTGCAACGTTTTGTGAACGTTCAGGTACTTCTTCTTCTTGAACACCTTGTGGCACACGTTGCACTCTATCGGGCCAGCCGAGGAAACGTTCTGCTCCTCCCTTTTCACCGCTTTTTCCTTTCCCCTGCGCTGCTTCCCATCCACGCCCCTCGCCGACTCTTTGCACCGACCTCGCCGATGCTTGAACAACTGCACCTTCTTCGCGAAACTCTCGCAACACGAGTCGCAAGTGTATTTCTTCTCGGCCTTTCTCAACGCCTCCCGAGTTCGAAGGATCGAACGCTCGGTTCTGTGCACCAACAGAGCAGCCTCCGTGGCGAAATCTTCGTCGCACGACTCGCATCGACACGATGCCGCGGCATCCTCCTCCTCCTCCTCCTCCTCCTCGACAACGCACGATTCGTTATCGACACCCTCCTCGACAACGACAAACCGATCTTCCTCGTTGGACGATCTAGGCTCGCGAGATTGATTCGGCTTGGCTGCTATCGTCTTCACGTTTTTCGCTCTGCAAAAAGACAACACAGCGTGAGCAGCCTTGTAATCGGACGCTTCCTTCACGCACGGAACGAGAACGCTAATGAGGGGAGCTATGATGATGTGTTATTTGAACAAGGCTCGAGTCGAGAAGAGGCGGAGTTCAAAATTTGTGTACTTGATGATTCTGTGCCTGAGAATTTTATCTTTTATAACCCGTCGATTAAGGGAAGGATGAAAATCTTCGTTGGAGAGTTATGAGTTCGTCGAGTTCGTTATCGAGTGGAGCGATTTATGATGTTGTTGTTGACGACAGTTTTTTCACAGTGTATTGAAAGAAGATGAAGCTACTTACTGTAAAAAAAAGCCAAGTCAGATCAGATTTGATTCGTTAGCGGATCCCTTCGATTTTCAATCAATCGTTCGGACAAGCGATACGAGAAGACGAAAGAATCGTTTTTCGTAGACACGTTGCACAAAATGCACACAGCCGTGAACAAGCAGAACGGTGTAGTAACTTGTGAAACGAAAGATCGTTAAGATTTTGTTGTACAGATTTTAATGCAATATTCGCGTTGTTCTTTTTTTCTTTTCTTTTTTTTTTTTTACTGTTGAGAACTTTCGTTTATCGTCCGAATCAAATGCGATACAAACAAAAGAATCGAGTCGGTAATTTGTTGCAATGCATGAAACAAGATGTTTACTATATTGTTTATTTTATATGAATTTGCTTACAAAAGAAGACTATCGACTACCTGATCTGGGATAATAAACAATGATTGGATAGAGTAGAAATAATTGAAATAGATTAGCGATATCATACATTCATTCGATTCACACACGATATTCCTGATTTATATACAAAATCTATTGCATACACAAGGAATTAGATAGAACTATAAATTTAAGTCAACTTTCATTCGTTTTATCGATAAAAATGCAAATCTTAAAATGTTACGGATATTATAACTGTAATACTATCTACATTTAATAATCTAAGTGACATATCACACTACAATTATTGGTTATGACAATAGAATAAAAAAAAAAAAAGAAAGAAAAAAAAAGAAAGAAAGAAAGAAAGAAAGAAAAAAAACGAAAAAAAAAAAACAAAAAAAATATTTTCCCCTTTCTCTATACCAAATACATAAAGGCAACATAAAGGAAAAGCTATGCGATAAATAAGACGTTCACTAAATTATCTATACTTACATTATAAATTAAGAAAAATTGTCATGAAACAATGTAACGTTTAATTAGAAGAAATTGTTTCTTAAGAATAATTAATATATATATATATATGATATATATATATATATCATAATCATTATCTCGTACACTTAACGAAAAAAAATGTTATTATCACAAATTGAAGTACCATTTCATCATATAATCCTATTCGTTTATAATAGTTTGTGATTGTTTTTACGCTCAATTTGCATTTTATTAAAAGCGTAGATAGTATTTAATCATTTGAAATCGAAACAATGAATTATATCAATGGATCTATCAATATCAATATTTTTTTCAATTTATAATTTTTCAGAGTTTATAACTCGTTAATTCGGATCTATCTTAAATATATATTTTTCTTTTTTATCTTTTTCTTCTTCGCGGAAATTATACCGCATATAACAACTAAGGCACTATCGTATATTTATCAATTACTAATTTAAAGCACCTCTTGCAAAATTCTATGCTTATAACTTTATACATATATAATATTTACGAAGAAGTGGTAAATCAATGTATGTGCGTATAAAATAAGATTGAGTATTCAGGAAAAATATAAAACCTATCGAAGCGTGGACGGTTGGTTCTATAAAATTCTACATAAAAAATTTCTCTCAACGCTTGCGCGAGAATGAAGTATAAAACGTGAAATTTTTATAAGAAGATGTAACATCGGTAAGAACTATTATATGCAGATTTACAATTTTCGTATTCTATCTTTGCATGTTAATGTTACAAAAGGAAAAAGGAGACAGTTAACTTACAATTAACTTCGTTTGAATGTGTTAATAAAATGGAATTCGTCTTAAATTTTGCATAATAATTATGCAAAATCGATCGTAGTATAAAAAGGTTAAATGCAAATATAAAAAAAGAATAGTAGAAAATTACTACAGGAATGCTTTGCATCTTGGCCAATTTTTTTTTCTTCTCTCTCTCTCTCTCTAGCCCTGTAAATTGACCATCTTCTAACCATCCAATCTATCCAACGAATAATCTCGAGTATCACTATATCTTCATCTTGCCTTACAAGTTGACCAATTTCGATGCCTATCTATCTATATGGCCAAGATGCAATAAAACAGCATTGAGCCGAGACATAAACGTACGTTATTTCAAACATGTTAGCGAGGAACTCGTACATAGCAGCACATTATGTCATCCTATCTCATTAAAAGTTAAACTTGAAACATGGTTTTATTATTCAAGAATTATGTTTCAATTCATTCAATGAATATCAAGAATGTGAACAGTGATTCATCGTGAACTATATATGTGCGTAATAAATGCTTCAAACACTAACACGAAATATCTTTCTCAACATCTTAATTGTTCCTCTGTTACAATTCCATCATTGTATAAAAATAACAATCACGACTGATTAAAATATCTATCCCTCTTTCGATCATAAATAATACAAATACCCCACCATGCTATAAGCCGTATATATATAGTAACCATAAGTAACTTTCTCCTTACAAGTGGACAAACTCTTTTACAAGGCCTTCGGTAATCGTTTCAGAATAATTATTCGTTAATCGTACGGAATATCCTAACTAGGTAACAATATAGTTATCGTGTCAAGAGACTGCTCTTGATGCTGGACCTCTTGCTCCTGTTTCAACTGTTGCTGCTGCTGTTGCTCCTGTTGTTGCCGCGCACTCTGTTTAGCGTGAGTCTTTAAGTGTGAGTTCAACATCGTTTTCGAGGCAAAAGATTTATGGCAACACGTGCAAGGATACGGTCGATCGCCGGTATGACCTCTGAGGTGCACCACCAGGGTGGTTCGTTGGGTGAATCGTTTCTCGCAGTGGGTGCACTTATGGGGTCTTTCACCCGTATGCGTGCGCCGATGCACGCTCAGATAATTTTGCGAGATAAATCCTTTGCCGCAGAGATCGCAAACGTGTGGTTTCTCACCTGTATGCTTTCGTAAATGCACGGTCAAGTAAGTCTTACTGGACACAGCCTTGCCGCAAACCGGGCAAATGTATTCGTTCTGGGGCCCCACGTTCCCGTGGGTCTTCATGTGCACCAGCAACACCTGTTTTCTGGAAAACCGTTTATTGCAGAGCTCGCAGTGATGCTTCCTCTGCGGTGGCACGTAATCAGGTTGGTGCAGCTTCGCGTGCAATCGCAAACCTTGACGATAGCGAAACGGAGCGTGGCATATCTCGCATTGAAACGGTTTTTCGTCCGAGTGCACCGCCTGGTGTTCCTCGTAACCGGCGGAAGAATCGAAACTCGCGCCGCAAATCTCGCACTCGTACTCAATGTTGTGCTGCTTCTGATGAGCGATCAAACTTTCTTTATCTTCCATAACATAGTCGCACGTCTCGCAAACGTAACTCTCGTTAGTTTCGTGCTCCGCTTGATGCTCCTTGAACGTGGACATCTTCGCGAAACTGCAACCGCAGTGCTCGCATACAAACTGGTCGTCTTGCACCTGCACCTCGTCCTGTTCGTGAACTTTTAAATGGAGCGCCAGAGCATGCTCGGAAACGAAACCGTCTCCGCAGAGATCGCACTGCACGATACCATCGGTGATGATTATCTCCGTATTCTCCACGCTCGGCACGTGCAAACGATTTGCGATGAGCAGCTGTTCCGTATCTTCCTCTTGTTTGAACATCTCGTTCGGGCTGCATTCCTGCTGATCCTGAGCTAGCATCGGTACCTTTGTTGTAAAATATCTGGAAAGAAGAGAGACACAAAACGTAGGTCAATCAACGTATCGTTTGCATTCGATCGATATTACTTTACTTCTCTTTCCTTTCGAGGAGTTTCAAGTGTCATAATTTCGTCAAATTTTAGGGGGAGGGACAAATATATGTTTAAACAAATATATATATACGAGATTCATAAAGTGCCTCAGTGCTTTCCAGTA